CAGACGTTCATAAAAAACACTTCTTTCGTAAAAGACAAAAATAGATATCAAACCTTTTTTCCCCGTGGGCCCGTAACTCAAGGAAAACGTTTTCAGAAAAAGAGTGTCGCTAACTCTCAGTTCTACCACAAACAGTAACGCACGAGTCTCCGACGAGCGAGCTGCATACACCAAACTGTTGGAACTGTTATTTAACTTTACTCGAGTAAAAACAGATGAATCAACCCGTGTTTCGTTATTCTGAACTACGTAAGCTCTGATCTCTCACACCTGTTGAGAGTACGTAGGCACAATACTGACGTATTGGCGAGCCACCTTCCCCCTTCCCTTTACCCGTAGTTAGCCGAACTACATTGACTCAGATTTCTCATTCTCTGACGAGAATACGTAGTCACGAAGCGCGATGCTTTGCCGAGTCACTTTTCTTTTCTTTTGGACCAGCCTTGATAGGTAGATAGTTAAAACAACCTGATAGATAAACACAACAAGCGTGGATCCCGTTGAGTACAATGAACGTGAGGGGTGCTAATACCTTCCCCTTGCGTAACCGACTCCCGAACCCAGACATGGTTGCGATGACCATGTCTTATACCTTTTCATCAGGTTTTTCCGATCGTTTCTTTTCCCTTTCTGTGGGATAAATAACGAAAGATGGCGACTCTTCTGTTTTGTCGGAACCTTATTTTTGCAGTAGTGACAACTATGTTTGGCACAGTAATCAGTTGGAAAGCAACGCTTCAGAAGGTTGTTGCCTTATCAACCACTAAAGCAGAATATATTGCCCTCAATGAAGCATTGTGGCTTTAAGGTTTTGCAAAGGAGTTGAAACTTTAAGGTCGAAGTATTACTGTTAAATGTGATAGTCAAAGTGCAATACACCTGTCGAAGAATTCAGCCTATCATGAGCGAACTATGCACATCGATGTGAGGCTGCACTTTGTCAGAGAGATAATCGAGCATGGTGAAGTCCAGGTGCTGAAGGTTTCGACTGAAGACAATGTTGCTGATATGATCACCAAGATGTTGCCCAATTGTAAATTTTTCCACTATATACAGTTGATAAAGATGCATGATGAAAGCTAGTTGATTCCCTGTTTGTTGAGTTAGATTCAAGGTGAAGATTTGTAAGATTTTGGGTCGAACTCAAGCTTTATCAAGGAGTAGCTTTCATGTATTTCGACAGGAGACAAGCATGAAGTCGGAGATGGGTCGCATGTTATGGTTGAAGGATATATATTGTAGTTGAAGTCTGTTCTAATATGTATTATCAAAATGTTTGTCGAATTGAGCCTTTTGTTATGGATTCAATTGTTTATTTAGCTTGGGTTGCAAGTTATCTAGTTAGTCTATATATAGGATAGACCACTCAGATTGTTGAGTGAGGCCAATTTGATATTCATTTGTAATCATTTGTAAACCCTTATGAGAAACTGAATAGTAAACAATTTTCCCTAATCCTTCTTCTTCTTTTTTCTTTATCCTTTATTCTTTCTCTCTATGTCCTAACTATTTTCATTGTTCATCCAAGAACTACGTTTCTCAATCTTGATTTGTTGAAAGGTATTGTTTGTGATCACAACATCAATTTTTCAAGTGTTGTTCTTAAACTGTCATATCATTTAAGTTATCATTTGGCACTTGAAATAAGTATTGATTGTATAATTGTTATCACTTACAAAGAGAAAGCAAATTTCATTGTAATATTCATTCAATCATTGGACAAATATTTGGTTTGTAACTTGTGTTTCAAGTCATTGAAAACAAGGTTTTGGTTAAAGAGAAAGTGTTTTATTGTTGTGTTAATCATAGAAGTGGGTTGTACTTCTTTGTTATTATTAGAAGATTGTAAGAGAGTTTTAGTGTAAAATAACTAGATGTACTCTTGAATTGTAAAAGAAACTGGATAAATTCCGATATTCTTTATTTTTCTACAATTTCTAATTTTAAAATTCACACATTAAACCAGAAAAATAACCCATAAATCCCTTAAAACCAGCATTTTATAACATCTAATTCGCCATCTCATCCTCTTAGGCACATCTCTGATATTTACAAAAATTGCCTCCAAAGATCCATGATAGGTTCTAAATTTGAACAAATAACAATAAGTGTAAGTGGAAGATTCAAGTCATGCAAATATATAAAAGTTCATTGTTTAATGATATTTATATTATTTTTATTTTTATGAATTTAATATTCACAATCGCAAAAATTAATTTTTTTACAATAAACGATCAATTCTTCTTTAAAAGACCTTAAAAACTATTTTAAATTATTTAATATTATTGTACTTTTAAAATTTAGTTATCTTATTGACCCAAAAAAAAATCTTTATAACCTTATCAGATTTTTACGTGTAAAAATATATTTTACACCGTTAGTACATACTTCCTCCATTCTTCTTTATAAGAAAATTTTGACTGTTTAAATTTATTCAATAAATAATATATTTAAACTATATTAGATACATTAATTACTGAATATTCTCTTTTCTTTATTTCTTTTTCCTTCTCCTTTCATGTCATTATTCATGTTTCTTTTTATTCATGTACCACACTTTTAATTATCCTCCATATTTCTTTTACTTAAATAAAACAAATTGATAAAGGAACCCCACCACCACCATTCTTCCCTTTTTTCTAATTATTATATTGATGACTTACCCAAGGTTGAAGGGTGGTCCTCTCCATTTTCTATTTTCTTTTTTCTTTTTCTTTTTTATTTTTCTTAAAAACTAAAATAAAAAATTAGTGGGACAAACATGAAGGACCACTGGCATGCATCCCCAACAAACATCATTAAAATATTTGCAACATCATTAACTAAAAGCTATTATATATATGGCATCATTACAATTACAATCTTAAACTAGATCATAAACTAAAAAATAAGAATAGTATCAAAAAATATTTTGCAAGAAAATGACATGTTGGACATTATTTTGTAATAAAAAAATTAAGGCATTTAAATTCTAGTTATTTTGTAATAAACAATTAAGACATTTAAATTTTAGTTCAACTAACAGAAATCAATATTCCTTCCTCCATTTTAAAATGACTATCGTTTAAAAAATTTCACACAGATTAAAAAATACAATAATATTGTCATAAGACATCGCATTTTTTACTAAATTAATCTTATTAAAATATTAAAAATAGTAATTAAAAGATACAATTGAAACTTAACCTTATTAAAATATTAGAAATAATAATTAAAATTGAAAAAACAGGAATCACATTATTAAAAAGTGAGAATGACAGTTATTTTAAAACAAACTTTATTTACTAGAATGACAATCATTTTGAAAAAAAAAAAATTAAATTGAATGCTATAATTAGAGCTCAAACCCTAATATTTATAGTAATATATTGTTAAATATGCTATATTCAGAGTTCAAACCCTAATATTTACAGTAATATATTGTTAAATTAGACAAAATTTGAACCTTAGTAATCAATTATGTTAGTTTATAATGGCTGCTACTTAAAAAAAAATTAATACAGAACAATTATAATTATATTGAGAAGCCTTAGTAATCAATTATGTTAGTTTATAATGGCTGCTACTTAAAAAAAAAGTTAATACAGAACAATTATAATTATATTGAGAAGCCAAACATCTCTCTCTCATGCAACATGGTCTGAATGATTAAATATTAATATGATTGTGTTTGTTTAATGAAAGTATAATTAAATAAAAGGTTTCAAGGTTAAAGATAGAGAAGAGATTAAAATAAATTTGAAGAGGGGTCCACTTGCACTAAACCCATGTGATTACATTAGGAAAGTTCATTAAAAAACAATTTAGCCAAACAACTTCTAGTTCAATGTATTTATAAAATTATAATAAAACTATACACAATGTCTTGAATGTTCAGCCACACAGATTATGATAATGGTAATAATTAAAAAAAAGGAAATAAATCTAATACCTTACTTAACCTCATTATGATTGACTATGACATTTATTAAAACTAATTTGAATAATTTCATGAGGCAAACTAAATTAACTAATTGTCCGGTGTAAAACTCTTAACACAAATTCTCACTCTTGAGTCAGTGCGTGAATTTAAACGGTATGTGACGATAACAGAAACCTAATAAACCTAATACAGATCTTGAACCAGACTCAGATGTAAAACTCTTAACTAATTTGGAATAACATCTCTAGCCATTAACAAGGTCTCATGAGTTGCAATTTTTAACAAGTTTGGGTTGGTGAGACTGTATAGCTCAGTTAGGCCCATACTAGATTGGAGAATACAAAACTTGTTAGAACTAGAAGTACAAATTGAACAAGACAATGCTATGATAGAATTATATGTTCTTTAATTCAACTTTATCTAATAAGACCAAAATGTATCCCCATTTCACCACCTTTTTGTTTTGTCCTACACTACTTTTGAGATGCATCTAATACTCTATGACATCTAATTCTAACATAGTATTGTCCTAACCAATCCTTGACCTAATATCTAGCTAGACCTAATTCGAATTTCTTCATGATGGCATCAGAGATGGAAATAGATTACCTGTTGTTGCAGATAAGGACCATCCAATCTTGATCGAACATCCACAATTCAAGTTTATACTTTGAATACGAGTCTGTCCAATCTGAATTCAACGGCTCAAATTCAGATTGAACAGACTCGTGTTCAAACTTTACTTATGTTACTTTCTTGTCAAGTACATAAAGAAAACACCATCAATTAAGGCAACAGAAATCGAACCGCAATATTCAAAGAAAAAAAAAGTTACTACACATAAAAAGCTCATAAATTGCCATTCAGTTGCTAATTAAAGACATAATACGTTTACTTCCATCATTAGTGGAAATAACAAATCCTAAACACAGACAAATTAGCATTGAATCATAAAGCCAAGGCAAATTAAGGAAAAGGATCAATAAACACAGTAGTAGTAGTAAGTTATGAAGCACCTTTTCATTTTAAAAACCTAATTGCAGCTTCAAAGGTGCAAGCAACATTGTTTCTCCGATTCTCAGCATCTCCAAGTTGAAATCGAGATGAGATCCTTCCTTTGCCAGCATAACATGAGTGAATTCTGCTTCTTCTCCACATGGAATCCCCTGCCGGGAATCCTCTGCACCAAACACTCAGCTTGTGACTCGGTAAAGTTACTAAACGTCAATGGCGAGAACCCCGACGACAAGATAAGATTTTTCCAAGGAAGTGTTCTGTCCTGTGAACGCAGACGGCCCAAAACAAGCTTCTCAATTGCTGGTTGAAGATAGTATTTCTCGATCATTTGAAGTACATCCTGGTGAACGTTAACACTGACAGCGTCAAGTGACTCGAGCAAACCCGAATAAGACTGGATAGCGAGAATCATATGCTGAGGAAACGGTGCGTCGGTTCGATCACAACTCCTATCCAGTGTTACCACTATTTTAGGCATGAGCTGTTTCATGAATCGAAGCACCAAAGGAAGGTAGGAAGGGTAATTTGAGAAAGAGCAAATAGGCAAGTTAACAACAACTGCTTCGCAGTCGCGAAGTGGCTGCGGCCATGATACAGAATTCAGAGAGTCGAGTGTCAGAATCTCGAGCTCGAAGGACATGTTAATTTCACCAGCATATTGTTTCAGATTCTCGTGAGTGAAACTAAGCTCGATTTCGTCGTGGTGAGAGGGTGAAACAAATGCAGTGATCTTCAGTGAAGGTGCACCGCCGTTCCTGAGTGCTAACTCCTGCATAAAAGAAGACCATTGTCCACCGAAACCGATATCAAAATCTACTATGTGAATTTGATCGAAACCTTCCACAGCTTCAAGCAATGCTTGGTTGGAAGTGAAATTAGCAAACTGCAGAACCGGTGAGATTTCGGAGAACGATTTATAAGCACCAATCTTGAGCAATAGCCCCGTAGGCGAAAAGCTATTGTTGCTGTTGCTGTTGACATTTGACTGAAGAAGCAATTGTAATGCCTCCTTGAAATAGAAAGCAGCCCTTTGAAAAGGCTTCCCAATGGGAGAAATTTGGTGATTGAGCCGCGCCAATATCCCGTGCGCGAGTTCCGGATTACCGGCTTCTATAAGTTCTGCAGCCTTGAAAAGCTGATCAATTATAGCCTGCTGGAACTGATTGTTTCCTGCAGCATCTTCGCCGCCACCGCTTCCAGGGTTTCCCATTTTCTGCTTCGGCGCCATTGGCCTCTGCTGCAGATGATGCGGAAGCAGTTGAAGCTGCTGTTGATGCTGTTGCCGCCTAAGAAACATCTCTTGACCAGAATCCATAAAGGGCATCTTCGGAATTTCATAATTATTACCACAATTGAGTCTTTTCGCCGGCGGCTGAGGATGAATCTCTTGATTTTCTTGCAGCTGAGAATATGCGAACGGAAAAACCAAACTAGGGTTAGGCATAAACTGAGTTTGGCTTTGGTTCATAACAAATTGAGGTAGCTTCTCATCAAGAGACTCAATTGGTTGTTGTTGATGATGAAACAAACCAGCATGAGAGAGTGAAGAATTGAAAATAGGGTTTTGATTTTGAGTCATCACTCTACCAAAAGGGAAATCAGAACAAATCTCAGTAGCCGTAGCAGCAACAACCGAAGAAGAATCAATGCTAGTTACAAAGTTGTTGTTGTTAACATTTGAAGAAATAGGGTCAAGCACAGAACTTTGTTGATCCATAAAACTAAAACCATTGAATTCAACATCTTGCTGAGAATGAGAATGAGAATTACTAGTCCCAACTTGTAAAAGCTTGCTTAATCCCATAGATGCATCTTCAATATCTTCCATAATCAATTTCAAAATTGAATGATCTTGATCTTGACCCGGTGATTCAGACAACACACTCTCCCAATCTTCCATTCCACATCTTTTTCCTTCAACTTCAGGTATGTTCTTGTTGTTGCTATCGGCTGAAGCGCCTCCGGCGGCGCTGCCGTGTGAGGAAGACAGTGTTGAGGATGAAGTAGGAGTGGCTTCTGGATTTGGTTTTTTGAGGTCAAAAACATCAACAGAATTGGGCTCAATGCCCGCATAGCAACAATTTTCCCTCCACCTTTGTAGAAACTGTTGTTGCTGTTGTTGAAATAAGAATGAATCTGAAACAACACTACCAACACTTGAACCAAAATCCAACACCCCTTTTCCTATGTGTTCTTCAAAGGGTAAGGGCATAGCCTTCATCTAAATCAACCAACAAAACTTTCAAACAACAACAACAATAAAAATTATAACTTTAAGCAAAACGAGAAAAAAAATCAAGAAAAACAAGATCTGGGGTTTTGATTCATGTTGTTCCTTGTTCTTCTGACAGAAAAAAAAACAAAACAAACTTGTTGTGTTATATGCATGCATCTTGGTTGAACAGACCCATTTCAGCAACAAGAACAAAAAACAAAATTTTCACCTCATTCATTCATTCTTGTTCCTCATCTTCTTCTTTTACACTTCCACAGCTTCTTTGTTTCTCTCTCCCTCTCTCTCACTCAAACAAAACAAAAACAACACCTATGTTGTTTGTGTGTGTTTCTCTCTCTCTCTAAATCAGTTGTTGTGTAATGTAAAAATATGTAATGGTTTGAAAAACTGATGTTTGTTTGTTGTTTATGAGAGTTGTGATGTGCACAGTACAAAAAGAGAAAAGCTTTTCTTTCTCTTGTCTTCCTTGTGTTTTCTGCTGTGGATGGATGCGTGCAGCATATAAAAGTGGTAAAGTGATTTCTCTCTCTCTTTTTTGGTTTTTTTAGGCTTATTTATTTGTTAATATGAAATGAAAAATATGAAATATTTATGTGGCTTTTGTCTCTAGATGTTGTTATCTCGCATGGTAGGGTCTTTGTCACACTCTGTCCCCACTTCAAGATGTAGTGCGCACTATTTGTAGTTCTCCTTTAGGAGAGGTTTATTATCATACCATTATTTCAATACTATATATATATATATATATATATATATATATATATATATATATATATATATATATATATATATATATATATATATATATATATATAGATGAGAAAAATCGATTTTAAGTATTTGTTAATATTTATGAAATGATATAAGTTACTAAAGGAGTTGTAACTATTAAGATTAGATGGAAAGATTGAAGAAAGGCGAATGTTTTTGTGTTTTTAGAGTAAATTTTTGGTATATTTTTACATTAGCCAACGGTAGTATTTATACTAATAAAAATGCAACTATTACACTAATGTAATAATTGGACATACTATTTTAATTTTGACAAATTATGTATCTATAATGATTTGTCATTACTATTTAAATAAATTTTTCTAAATAATAATAATATTATAACACTTCCCCTTTGAAATATTTATTATAGTGCTATATCGAAGTCTTACCAAAGAGAAACTTATGACAACATATATTGCCTCGTTAAAAACCTTATTAGAAAAAATCCATTGGGATAAAAACCTTAATAAGGGAAAAAAGAGTACAACACGATGCTCCCCCTCAACATAGCACGTATGATTCTTCTTTAAAGATCTCGAAGTTGACGCATTTTTATATTCTATACATGCTTCTTGAAAATTTATGTAGGAAGTGCCTTTGTGAAGAGATATGTCATATTATCACACAAACGAATATATTGAATATTAACCTCTTTGTTTCTTTTAAGTTCTTGTGTGAATGAGAAGAAATTTGAAGGGATATGTTTGGTTCTGTCACTTTTGATGTAACCTTCTTTCATTTGGGTAACACATGCAACATTGTCTTCATACAAAATTATTGGATTATTATCAATGGATAAACTAAATGCTTCTTTGATATGTCTAGTTATCGATCGTAACAATCTACATTCTTTGTTTGATTCATGAAGAGCAAATACTTCAGTATAATTTGAATAAGTTGCTGCAAGTGTTTACTTTTGTGATCTCTATGATATTGCAGTGTTACGATATGTAAACATATATTCAGTCTGTGGTTTACCATTATGTGGATTTGACAAATATCTTGCATCTGCATAACCAAGTAAAACTGGTTTTGTATTGTTAGAATAAAACAAACCAAGGTCTGATGTACCTCAAAGATATCGGAATATATGTTTTATTCCTTTCCAATGTCATTTTGTAGGACATGAACTGAATTGTTGTGAATTAGGTACCTTTAAACAAAGTATAAAAGGTTTCTTAATGATCAAGAAACACACAAGGGTTAGGGTTAACAAAGAAGACAAGGTAAAATAACAAGGAACAACAAGGATTGGTTATTAAACTGCTATTTTTTCATTTCTCTTAGAACAAGACTACAAGTATATAAGAATAACAAAATAACCGCTCTCTCTTGAAATTAGGATTTTATCTTCCTATTTTTTCTTATGTCAAGATTGAGAAACTAGCATCTTATTTATAAGAAAAATAGCACACTAACCTAATGGGCTTTTTAACAATTACCCATTACAAGTTAACTTAGGGTACAAGTTAACTTAAACAATTGGGCTTACAAGCAAGGCCCAATTCAACATGCTAACAACCCTAACAATATTGACTAATGCATGTTAGAACAAACTTCGACTACAACAGCATTACTCGCGAACAGACTTCGACCATACTAGAGTTCGATATAACATCTCATAAATCTCCACCTTGGATCTAACTCTATAACATCAAGAAACTAGCTTTCTTCATGCAGCTTTATTAATTGCATACAGTGGAAAAACTTGCAACTGGGCAACGTCTTAGTGATCATATCAGCAGCATTATGATCTGTCGAAACCTTCAGCACTTGGACTTCTCCACGCTCGATTACCCCTCTGACGAAATGCAGCCTCACATCAATGTGTTTGGTTCGCTCATGATAGGTTGAATTCTTCGACAGGTGTATTGAACTTTGAATATCACATTTAACAGTGATAACTCGACCTTGAAGTTTTAGCTCATTTGCAAAACCTTCAAGCCACAATGCTTCCTTCACAACTTCAATTAGGGCAATATACTCTTCTTTAGTGGTTGATAATGCAACGACCTTCTGAAGTGTTGCTTTCCAACTGATTGTTGTCCCAAACATAGTGAACACATATTCAGTGATAGATTTTCTAGAATTCATACAACCTGCATAATCAGAGTCGACATATCATTCGATTGCTGATTTACTATCTTCACCCAAGGCTCCACTATAAATTAGGACTCTATTCAGAGACCCATTTATGTACCTTAAAATTCACTTCAATGCTTGCCAGTGAGCCTTTCCAGGATTCGTCATGTACCTGCTTACAAGACTTACTGCATATGCTATGTCGGGTCTAGTACAGACCATAGCATACATCAAAGAACCTACTATGTCAGCATATAGAATGTTATTCATATAAGTTCTTTCAACATCAGTGTTAGGACACTGATCTATATTTAACTTGAATTGAGGATTTTTTGGAGTCACAACAGACTTTGAATTCGACATACCAAACTTTTCGAGAACCTTCCGTATGTATGCCTTCTGAGATAAGCATAATTTTGACTGTTTTCTATCTCTCCAGATGTCAATCCCAAGAATCTTGGACGCAGCTCCCAAATCCTTCATGTCGAACTCATTATTAAGTTCAGCCTTCACCCTCATTACATCTTCGACATTGTTGCTTGTTATTAGAATATCATCCACATAGAGCAACAAAATAACAAATGAATTACCCGGTCAAAATCTGAAGTAAACACAGTGGTCGAACTGACTTCTGATGAAACTTATGTGTGTCATGAACTTGTTGAATCTCATATTCCACTGTCGAGGAGATTATTTCAGTCCATATAAGGATCTATTCAGCTTGCACACATAGTCTTCCTTCCCTTTTTTGACATACCCTTCAGGTTGCCTCATCAGGATTGTTTCATCTAAGTCACCAAGTGTTGTTATCATGAAAAGATTTCATCTCATCATCCATGGCCTTCAGCCATTCAGTCTTCTTTTGAATCCTCATAACTTCCTTATAGTCTCTAGTAGGGCTGACAATGAACCGAACCAACTCGAAAATAGTTTGAAATTCAATTCAACAATTAAATCGTTGAACTAGGTTCATGAACCAAATGAGTTGAGTATGAGCGAAAAATTAAGTTCATTAACTAAATGAGTTGAACTTGTGTTGCACCCTAAAATTTGCTCAACCTTATTCACCTGGTTTATGTTTCAATTACATTAGCATTTGCATATAGAGTCATGTACATAGTCTAACCATCTGCATAGCATAGCATAGCAAGTCATCCAACAGGGGACCAACCATTATTCTCATCTCTATGAGCCTATCAAGAGGTTATTATTCTAATCCAAGCTCCTTCAAGTCATCAGAAAGAATTTGAAAGCTAAAGAGGTCAATAGATCAAGCAGGGCATCTATCTCCTATCTGAGGGTATCTGGGGATCACCAAAGAAATTGTGAGCTGTGGGCTGAGCATAGAGAGTATCTAGACATCATGGGAGACTCAGAAAGTCATTTGGAGAAGGAGACAAGGCATTGATATGATCACAAGTATTGCAATTGAAGACAGTCAACTAGGGTTTCATCTGGGGTCAACTCTAGGTCAACCCTAGGTCAAATGATTGATTGAAAGGTATTAAGGTCTATTGGAGAGATGTGGGGTTCATCATTTGACATGTAAAGAAGGATATGTTGTTGTGCTAAGAAGAATTCAGGAGAAATCAAGGAGAAGAGGAGTTTCTAAATTAGGGTTTCTGTGTAAAATCCCCTAGTTTAGGTCAAATTTCCAAGCAAGATAAGTCAAAATGCAAGCTTCAAATGGATCCTTGGCCAACATGAAACTTGTAGAGGATATCAAGACCTTTAATTTTAGTGGTGGAAGACATTAAGGAGATTTATATAACTCAAGTTATGGTCCTTGCAAGTTACAGGTCATCTGAGGTATCTGAAAATTTGTCTGTGAAAGTTACTTGTCTTCCAAGCAATTTTTACCCCTCAAGGAGATTTCAAATGAATTTCTGGTCAACATAAGAGTTGTTCCTCATTGTCTTAGCTTTCTAGAATGGTATGGTATGCCTTCATATGATTTGTGGAACTCTACGTATGGTCTTGGCAAGCAAAGGGTATTTTGGTCATCTGAGAAGTACAGGTCATTTCAAGCCTATGCCCAAAACTCATACAAGGAAGCTTCAAATGAAAAACTTCACAACATAAAACTTGTTCCAAATGAAATTTTGAGTCTAGAAAAGTGACCATGAAAGATTGTAAAGATTCATAGCACAAGGTTTCAAAATTGGTGAATTTAATGGATAAAAAATGACCTAAATTTGAGATTTTTCATAGTTTGGCCAAATGAGGTGAAATTATAGGTCATTTTGATTGGAAAAATCATTTTGAGAACATTGGCAAAAGTGGAATTTTGAGTTTGGTTCAAGATTTGAGAGATATGCATGGTTACTTACAATGAAAGTTACATAATCCAAATCCAAGGGA